GCACTGATGCACCAGTGAGGAGGTGTGAGCGACTGGTTGTGGTGGGCATGAGGAGAGGCAGAGGGAGACCTAAGAAGTATTGGGGGGAGGTGATCAGGCAGGACATGACACGACTTAGGATTTCTGAGGACATGGCCCTTGATAGGGAATTGTGGAGGTCGAGCATTAAGGTTGTAGGTTAGGGGGAAGTTTGTGAATATTACTACAGCGCACTAGAGGGAGACAAGCCATTTAGGAGTTAGACTTAGGATGCTACTGACCAGCTACTGATGCAGGGCTGTATCTGTTGGATATTAGTATACCTTACATCCTTTTCGTATTTCCTATATTTCTTATATTGTTGTTATTTTGTTATTTTATGTTATGTATTTTATGTTATTTACTATGAGTCTATTGATAGTACTAATATATTATCTTTTGTTGCTCTTTTGAGCCGAGGGTCTCTTGGAAACAGCCACTCTGCCCCTCGGGGTAGGGGTAAGGTCTGCGTTCATATTACCCTCCCCAGACCCCACTTGTGGGATTATACTGGGATGTTGTTGTTGTTGTTGTTGTTGTTTGGGATGTAAGCACTGCCCGGAGCCCCTTTGAGACTCTTAGGAACTTTGGCACATCCCAAGTATGAGAAAGGCTTTTGGAAATCCGATCCTGGAAGTTGGTTTATCTCATATTGTTGGACTTTGGGTCTGAATTAGGTTGTTTGGTTGTAGCTAGAACTTCTGATGTAATTTTTTTACCTTTTTTTTTCTGAGTCATTCAGGTCTGTAATAATTTGTAATAACTATTAGGGATGGCTAGTGGAGAGGGATGGGATGAATGTATGCAGAGGGGTAGATAACTTGCCTATAGGATTTTCTGATTCCTACATTCACATAAACAACATGCATATATGTTACTTATAAATTTCTGCATCTTAGAAATTATGCCTATAGGTTTCTGCACTTCTGCATATAGAAATCCTGTCTCTAAGTTTCTGCATTTCTGCATATAGAAATCATGATCATAGGTTTCCTGCACTTCTGCATATACATGTCATTAGGCAAACAATCATAGGTTTAGTAATAATCAACTTCATTCTAGATATTATGCCTATAGGACTCTCGCATTTTTGCAATCGTTTAAAAACCAATAATGCTTAGAAAACATGCCTATAGGAGTAATCAATTGAATCAGTTTCGCTATTCCATCTCTGAGTTTAAAATCAGTAGTAATATCGTTTACAATCTGCAAAACTCTTGTTTATAAAACCAGTAATCCTTTCTTTAAAATCAGTGTTGTTAGATGTCATGTCTATAGGTCTCACCTAGGCAAACCATTAGGTGATCAATTAACTGTGTCAGTTTTGATAAACTACAATCAGACAAGGCTAATTCAGACTCCTCATCTGAGAAATATATGATAAATCAGCATGTCCTAACGCTTTAATTCAGACCATAACCAGTATTTGAAGTCATGCTATATATTTGCTCCTCTGGGTGAGGAGGCTTGTTTGAGCCTTAACTGCTATTTGTTTTTCCCCTAATTGCTTATGTGTTTTGTTGTCGCCTAGACTTTTTATCCTTTTAAAACTCTGAAAATCCCCAACTCCCTCCCCTTTAGGATTAGTAGTCTCAAATGCCTCCGGGACTGATAGGATTGGGACGAGTAATAGCATGCAATAAGAAACGATACTATTCCGCACTTTAATACCTTAACGGGGTGGGAAGGGTAGATATGGATATGATGACCGGTGCGCTAATACCACGTGTAGCCCCTCTTTTGAGGAGTGATTACCGGGTATTGCATTGATGTGATCCAGATTATTTGTAAACCTAGGACTCCCTTTCCTTTATTTGTTTATTTTATTTTCAAACTATTTCTTTAAAATTTTTGCTTTCTTTACTTTCGTCAAACTCTCAACTTGCTTGCAATATTATGTGAAAACCCCCTCTACTTGAGACTTCTATTTGCTTACTTGTTATTCAAAGTCACAATTGTAATATGGTGGGGAACCACACTAGTGGATCTTGGGGGGTGCCTAACCCCTTCCCCTCGAGATAATTTCTAGCCCTTACCCGAACTCTGATTTTCCAACTCGAACTCTTCTTTAGTGTCCTAATGCACTTTAATCATTAGGTAGCGACTCTTCAACCCAAAAAACCCAATTCCCAAGAGGGAACGAGTTGTCCTTCCAAATGTCATCAACCCGATTTCGCCTTAGAAAAATGGGGCGCGACAACTATATAGGTCAACATTTAATCAAAAGAATTCTACTTAAGGAAGAACGACCAAGAGTCAACCAAACCGAAGTCACGTATAAGAAGCAATATACCGGCGAGTGATTTAGCTACGGTCGAGGTCGAGCACTCAATTCGGCCTGAACGGCTAGTTCAACACTTAGGCATTTTAGAGGAATATTCTACGGGATATTCCAAGAACTTAGGTACTCTGGTTAAGGACCGCTGGGTAAGGAAAGTATTTTGTATAAATATCATGGGAGAGAGTAACAGAAGGAGGGGTGATAGGAACACACACACACACATATACATCTGACTAAAGGTGAAGATGTTCTCGGATCTCAGGCTCTTCGTCGAAAAAGGAGAAAAGAGCTTAGAATCTCGGTATTCATCTGTAATTCAGCTTTATCAAATGTATGGAGGTTGGTCTTGTTGAAGAATGGTCACCCTTTGCATTTATGTATTCCTCATTATCATTTGATATTATTGGAGCAATCGTCCTTTTGTTACATTATGAAATTCAATTGCAATCAAATTTTATGTTCAGTTATACTTGTTTATTCCTATCTTCTATCTCATATCTAGAATAAATTATCGCTGGCTAGAATTTACCTCAAATCCTCTTATTTAATTAATTTAATAAAAAGGCATAATACTTTTTAGCCAAACACCAATCATGTTTAACTTTATTCACCCATCAAATAAAATGAAGTGGAATGGTTCAGTAGTTGGATAAATGAAGTTTTTGACAAATAATATTGAATGGAACAAATATCTAAATAGAGGACCACAGTTTCTTGATTTTTATGGTTGTCTTTGTTCTTAATTAGTCACTATTAGTTTGGAGAAGCCATGTAACCCTATAACCAGTGAGGCTGACAACCCATCTCTATTGATGCCGATGACACAAGAGGCCTTGGTTACATGATCGACATCTTTATGTTAAAATAGCAAGGTCTAGTCAGTTTTCGGACTGATCATTCAAAAATAACCAGCGTTTGTTAAGTCAATGAAAAATAACCACTATTTTGCTGCAACAGAGACTGGTCCAGTATAATATACTGGAATTTGGTGCACCTGTGTATGAACTTCCAACATATTATGCTGGACTGATATACTTTGTTGGCTCCAGTATAATATACTGGAGACTGGAGCACCGGTGCTCCAAACTACAGTATATTATGCTGAACCGGTATATTATGCTAGAGTATTTTTCCGGATTTTGAACAGTGTTTTCATTCAGATTTATCTTTACATAAAAAGTGGCTAAATTTCAATTACTTTTGAAACTGTGACTATTTTTGAATGACCACTTGTAAATCTGGCTATTTTTTAATTTCTCCCCATCTTTATATATCTCCAAATAATCTTGATTTTGGAAATAATCTTGATTTTGGTTACGCCTTCGCAACCAATTATGGTGATTTTAGAACCAAAATGACGCAGAAAATTATTTCTGTCAAGAAAGTGAGTGTCAAAAATTAAATGATACATAAATACCTATAACACATAAAATATCAACATTATATTAGCTAATGTTGATTAACGGCCGCCACCTAAGTTCGACAATACATAACACATGAAATTCATTTGATTCACAAAAGAAAAAAAGAAAAACTTAGAGGGAGAGCACATTAGGATGTTACACTTGGTTTTCTGATTTAACTTGTTTTATAGTATTTAATGGATACTTGTGTGTGCATATATAAAAATGATTTCCTAAAATCCAAAATACATAAATACAAAAATGAGTAGGTATTGTACCTTAGAAGAAAATCAAAAGAAAATGTCGCAATCAAGTATTAAGCCCCTATAGTATTCTTTGCACAAAATCAAGGCACCAGCCCTGACACTGGCTGACCAAAGATATTAAGCCGCATGTTCTCTTGGCAAGTCGGCAGGAAGACGCAGGGTCGGATATAGATAGCTGATTACGTGTTCAATTCAACTTAATAATTTCAATACAAAACTTAGATATATATGTAAAAATAACCAAAATTTATTAAATATATACATATTTTATATTTATAGTATTTTTTACTGTGTAATGAGTTAAAATATGAAGCATAAAGTTAAAATTCTGAATCCGCTACTAGGGAGATGGAAGAGAGCCGTGCTAGTGTTGTCACAATATGACATAGGGAGAAATTCAAAAATAGTCAGATTTACAAGTGATCATTCAAAAATAACCATAGTTTCAAAAGTAGTCGAATTTAACCACTTTTCATGTAAAGATAAATCTAAAGGAAAATATTGTTCAAAATTGGGTAAATACTCCAATATATTATACTGGAGTTCCAGTATAATATACCGGTTCAGCATAATATGCTGGAAGTTCATACACAGGTGCTCCAATCTCTAGTATATTATGCTGCAACTTTTTGCGTGTTGGATACACATGTGTACCGATCTTCAATATATTATGCTGGAACTTTCCGTATTGCAGCAAAATAGTGGGTATTTTTTAATGACTTTACAAATGCTAACTATTTTTGAATAACCAGTCCAAAAACTGTCTAGTCCGTGCTATTTTTACTATGACACAATGACAAGTTGCTTTTGCTGCTGGGTTTGATTAGGTGGCCAACTTATAACCTCAGCAAGAGATTAGCTACTGTACCAGCCAGAATTTCAAAATCTTAATTACGTAGCTATCCAAATAATAAGTTAACATTTGTATCAAAAATGGGATTGACTCAACGTTAACATCAGGGAAAAATTAGAATACTCTTTGCTGATGTTCTAATTCTAATCCACATACAAAACGACTCAAAGAGTAAATGTGCATTTGAAGAACCCCACACTGCTTTCAGCTTTCATACTTTGCTTCCTCAATAAACAAAAAGAAAAAAAAATAAAGCCTAAAACGTCTGAGGAAGTTAGGCCAACGGTTATAGTTCCTCACCCTCTTTTAAAAAATTCACTTGAAATCAAAGCAAAAGGGGCTGTTTGATTATTGGTCACCATCTGAACCCAAACTTCACCTTCCTCGATCTGTCATGTTTGTTCAACCCCATAACCTCTTTCTCTTCTTATTTCCTCCCTTTTTATTCCTACTTCCATTCCTCTTTTCTCTATTCTTATCCATTTTCTTAGAGATTCTTGAAATTATGTAATAGGTTCGATTTGGGAAATTTTTGCTGTGACATGCTGCCAGGGAATTTTCTTTGAAAAATTCTATAATAATCATTGTCTCTCCATCCACATGCTATATGGTATTATTACTGATGATATATTACTTGATAGCAGTAAGAATTTGAAAGTTCTTGGAAATTTCTCCTCGTTGACGAATTTGTTAAATACACCTCCTGGCTGAGGTACAAGTATGTTTAGCTAAGCAGTGTCCGGAGTCGGCTCCATGATTTAAATTTGACTGTTCAATATTTTTGTTCTTATCACCGAACCCATTACACTTTTTTTTACTGTATATCTATATTTCGTATTGAAAATACTGGTTTCAGTTGAACCTATTGATCTACATACGCGTCATCATTCGCAATGAATAGCCGTTACTTCATTACAACAGACTCGTTATGTAGTTCTCGAGTTGTTGTTCCTTTCCCGACAATTGCAACTGAAGTTGTGGGAGAAACAATGGATGTTAATGTTAGAAACATGTCTTTATCAAGGACACCTCTTTCTTCATTCTTGATAAGAATGACTATTAGAATATCAAGATCAAGGTGTTTCAGTTTCTTAAGGAGGGTGTTTCATTACCAAAATGGTTCAAGATCAGAACTTGGTTCAAATCCTTTTAATTCTGTGATTTGGATGATGATGGAGTGCATAGCTTTAAGTATTCAGATAATTGTCATAGCATACACATTGGCTATTTCAAAGGAAGAAAGGCCAGTTTGGCCAATGAGGATTTGGGTATTTGGATATTCTTTTGGATGTGTACTTTGTCTGATTCTGCTTTATTGGCGCTATTGGGCATTATATATCAGGCAAAGAGATGATATTGAGCAGCAAATAAACCATGATGATGAATCAAGGTAATACTTCACCCTGTCCAAAATATTAGTCGTTTTGGCACAATGAATAATCTCTTTCAAAATATTTGACATTTTATAAAGGTCATTTTTTTTTCGTAGATACCCTTAATCCAATTAGTGGAGTATTAAATAAGGAAGTAAAAAGTAATTTAGATAAATAATCTTTATAACTAAAACTAATATCTTTTTTTGAGAGGTGTGCAAAAATTTAAAAAAGACGAATAATATGGATGGAATGAGTGGTACAGACAGACCTTTCTATGACAGCATCCATATATAACAACACTTTACTATAAAAATCAAGTTTTTTCGGAATCAATTTTTATGTTATGTTATAATATATGTTCTCTATAACAGCATTTCACTATAATATCCTAAAATATTCGGAACAAACGGTGTTGTTATAGAGAGGTTTTACTTTACTTTTCTCCCTCCCTTGCTCCCTCGGGGGTAATTTGAGGCTCAAATAGACGCCATGGTTTCCATCCACATAATGAATACCTTCTTGAATTTGAACATATCAAATGCTATTTTGTGTTGACATGCACAAAGAGTTTGACAGGTCTAACTTTTGTATTCATTTTTCAACATGTGTTAAACAAATAAAATTCACTCTAATCCATAGCCCAATACTTGTTCGATTTTAATACTTGGCTTCAATTTTAATAACGTAATCCTCATTTGACTTTTGACTAGGCTGCATTTCTTGTTTCTGTTGTTTTGAGTCATGTGGTTCAGCTGGTGGCAAGAAAAAATTTAAAAATTGTCTACAAGAACCAAATGTCTCAAATTGTTTCTTTTTCCACCATTAAACAATGTGGCTGTGATGAACTTATACGTTTGTGCATAAACTAGACTTGAGCTACATCAACAAACTTACTTAATTTTACATTTTCAAGAATTTGCATATTAGAGTACAACCATTTAAGATCAGATGTAATAGAATAAAAGATAAACTTCCTATGATTTAACTTATAGGCACTAACAACGTAAAAAGTGTTATACTATCAGTGTATTTTAACATGTACGTTGTAAGAGGTAAATTATCAAGATTATTAATTTGATTTTTAATATTTTAGATGATTTGATAGTGTAAAATTCTTTTTCCAGGGCCTTGCCGCCTCTACTGGAGAGATGTCGGACTTGTATAGAATTGTTCTTCGCCATATGGTTTGTAATGGGAAATGTTTGGGTGTTTGATTCACGCTTTGGATCATTTCATCGTGCTCCAAAACTTCATGTCCTCTGCATCTCACTGCTAGCTTGGAATGCTATCACTTACTCTTTCCCCTTCATATTGTTTGTATTGTTATGCTGTTGTGTGCCAATTTTGAGTAGTCTTCTTGGCTATAACATGAACATGGGATCACTCGATCGAGGCGCATCTGATGAACAACTCTCCAATTTACCTAGCTGGAAATACAAGGAAATTGGAAATAAACAGGAGTTTCAGACTTCAGCTATAGATAATGAAAATGCTGTAAGTGATCTTTTTCCTTATTAAACACCTAGAATTAGAGAAGAAACAAATTGTAAAGAAAGGATGTTTTTGATATGACGAAAGTGATTTTTTATTGAAGAGGCAATATTTTCTAAGAAAGAATATTTATTAAAGACGGGGATAATAATATTAGCAAACGGATAGTGTTTTAATGAAATTTTTAGTGTTAATTAAGGCAGTGATTTAAAGTTAAAGAGTTTGACATGATTATGAAGGAAAATGAATTCCGTCCAAAAGTGAAGGAAGACATTTTTCGTCTAAAAAATATTTTCTGGCTACCAAACACTAGAAATAAATTATTTTATAGAAACATTTTTCCGACTTTCATTGTACCAAATACACTTAGAAAAGAAAAAAAGAATGTAGCAAGGAAATTTGTACATCATTCCTCAAATTAAAGCCTAACAAGTTTGTGGGATAACAGGAATGTTGTATCTGTTTGGCCAAGTACAGAGACAAAGAAGAGATGAGAGAGTTGCCTTGTTCTCATATATTCCATCTCAAATGTGTGGATCAATGGCTCAGAATTATATCTTGTTGTCCTCTCTGTAAACAAGAATTAGAGAGGTAAAAATTGCAAGAAAAGCTCATGATAGTACTACTGATACTTCATTTGTTTTTATTTTAATTTTCTTGCCCAAGTTTTAAAGAAAAGGTCAATATAAATTGCATGTAAAACATAGTTACTAGAGTGAGCAAAAAGTTATTGTAAATTATAGTTCACCAGTGACTATGCTTCTTGGTGAGAGAGTATTGAGAAGAATCAAGAGAAGTTGATGGCGCAAAAGTTGTTTCCTTTTTTTGGGAAGATATTATTTAACTCTTCCAAATATCATTATGTATCTCTTTCTGTATTGACTACCAGTATGATGTTAAATTCAAAAGCTTAGTAGAGGCTTCTTAAAGGAAAATGGAAATTAGTCAGCTTTGTCGATTTGGAATATCATTTCTTTTGTGAGATTTCCTCCTAGTGCCCTCAATCTGCAAACACATGGACGGCTCAATTATCTCGTCGCTTAAAGGCGAAATCAATATTGAGAGGCCCTTAAATTTTTTTTTATAAAATTTGTACACTAAAAAAAAATTACTTTCTAAACAATAAATTAATCATTTCAGACAAAAAATAGCGAATTTCAAAAAAACAAAAAAGGAAGAAGAGCATAAAGAATAACATGGTGGATTATCAAATGTTGAGGTGAGGAACTCAAAGTGAAATTTTTGATTTGGCTATCATCACAAACAAGGAAAAAAAATAAACGTACATAATGTAATAGTTTAAGTTTTGAGCATTGACAATGTCAAAACTTGATTAAAAAATATTTATACCTTATGATCAATTTAAACGATAATTGTAGTTCATTTTATTAAGTAGCACTCATTGGCGAATATTTAATATAAATTGTGAATAATCTAATATAGTATGTTAAATTACACTGAAAAGATACCGGTGCATGGATGCATTTGTATTCATGCAGCTTCAGAGAAGATTGTAAAAGAAATTCATTAGGTTGCCGATGTATATAACTTAATTCGTATATAAAAAAGATAATATTAAAATTGAAGAGTGTAAAATTAAAGAGTGAAGCAAATATACTAATTAATGAACGAAGAAATTTATCATAATTTATGGACTTGTTGGTATAAAATAACCTCAATCAAATAACAAAAGAATATACTAACACTTTTATTTTTAATAATTATTTATATAAGTTCTACAATACAACAACAACCATAAGAAGAAGAACAATTTAAAGTAAATTTGGAGCCTTCAAATTTTGGGGGCCTCTCTCCTTNTATTGAGCCTCTCTCCTAGGGTTGGTTTTCTCATCTGATCCTAAATCATTCAACAACCTGAGTGTTGTAGCTCTCTTGTTCTTGGCTGCTAGACGAGGAGCTGGGTAGAGAGATAATAGATCCTCCCCCTAGGATGGTAGCTTCTATTCCTTGATTGCCCCGCAAGTTAAATAAGGGATTCTAATGCTTCTTGAAGCCAAATAAGGGCATAAACCACTATATAGAGTCTTGAGTGCCTTCCCTTCGAAAACCAACTAAGGCAACTCCGATTGAATGCAAAATCCCGCTAGCCATTATTCGTATGAACTCCTAGATCCATGAAGGACATGGGCATCTGTAAG